ACAAGCTGGGTTGTGCCTGCCCTTGCCTGAGGCATAAGGGGGAGAGTACATGAAATATCCCCCTCAATCATTTGCACCCACACCGGGCACGCTCTCAGAAAGGACATCAGTCCTGCACCTGGTCTCAGCCTGTTGAAGGAGGGAAGATGGGGTTATGGGGGAGCACAACAGGTAAGGTCTGGCTGTGCCCAGTTAAAGGGACTGTCCTTTGGATGCATACAGATCTGGTGCCCCCTAGAGACATTCTAGCCCCTCCCCCACTACAAGAACATGGCTTAAACTGACCTCTTCAGAAGTCTTGGAGGTGTAGCTGTGTTAGTCTGTAACTTAAAAAAAAAACTTTAAAAAACGAGTCGCCCTAAGACCTCTTCATAGTCTTCCCACACCAGTGGAAGTGTGATGCAGACCCCCAAATGCTCAGCCACAGCCTTTTGCTTCCCCCATGACTCATCCCAGTGTCACTTTGGCTCTCATATCTATACAGGATGTTACTCAGAGGGCTGGGCAAAGCTGCTAGCTAGCTCCTGCTGCTCTGAACTGTTCGACAGAAACTTTAAAGAGACCTTTGCATGGGTCAGCCAAAACACGCAGCTAGCTGAGGGCAAAACTTTACCTTTTCAACCTGTGTTTTGCAATTTCTGCCTCAGTTTCCCCCTAGTCTCCACCACTCAACAAAAAGCTGGTTTCCACAGCGAAAGTGGATGCTGGGAATGCAATGACCCAATCGTCTGGAGTGAAATTTATAATCCTCACCCAGGAACTGCCCCGCCCTGCCTATCAGACCTGTTTCTTGCTTTGGGGAAATTGGCGATAGAATTTTTACAATGAATCGCAAACTCCCTCCTTGCACAATGGCTGGAAATAGGATTGCTTTTCTCGTCACGGCTGAAGGGTTTTGTGTGTTCTTGTTTTGTTTTCATGAACAGCACTTGTTACGTGCCCCGCAGCATGTGTATCAGCAAGTGAGTGCCTGGTGCGTGTCTGTTTAAACTAGGGACATTAAAAAAAAAAGGTTTAAAAGAGTAACTGTGTAATGGTTAAAAATCTTAGCGGGTACCTCGTTAACCATTATTTTTAGCCGGGAGGGACTAGGGAGAAAAGGATGGTGGAGGAGTCCCAGGGAGCCAGCTGTGGTACCATGTTGCAGTTTTACAGTATAAATCTTACACTGCAGAGGCTACAGTGCAGGATGGCAGCCGGAGCCCCAGGAGCAGGCACGTGCTTGCAGGGAAGAAGAGTTTAATCGTAACAGAAACCGATCAGCTGATGCTTATTGGTTAACTGGTTAAACTGTTACATCCCTACTTTAAACACCTTAGTGGTGTGTAAAGTCCTACAAACTAGGACAAGCCGTCTTCAATTCTGAGGAATATCAGCCCCAAGCAGAATAACTGAGGCCTCAGCTTTAGTTTCTCTCATCACCGGAAGGAACGAGCCTCAGAGGACTCCCACTCCCACCCCGGCGTGTGTCGTCTGCAGTGAACCAAACCCAGGGGTACAACTTGGTGCTATGTAGAACCTCCCCGCATTGCAGCAGTTTCTGGGGACTTGGACCTGCTGCCTTCTGGGATCGCACAGGTCTTTGTGGATGCAGGTGTTTAATCCTTGGCCCAGGAAGAAGGGAAAACCGAGAACTTGCACTGGCATGAAAGATTCTCCATCAACCTCAGCATTTCTCTTTCATGCCTGTGGCCCACCCGCCTCTCTGACCATCCAGATAGGTGGTAACTCATCTTTGTCTGCAGCGGCCCAGCAGCAGCATCAGAAGGAGGAAGAACAATTTCTACTCCCAGGAACTCGGCCACAAGTGAATCATTGGGGCCAGGACTCTCATTGAGTCAGCAGGCTCTGCTCCTTCTGCCAGTGTGCAAAGACAAGACCTAGGCCCTGCTGTACAGATGGAGGTTTCTTGTTCCCCTTCACTCAATGGGGATAAGCAGAACAGATCACTCTAATGCCAACCTGTCTGGACGCGACACTGATAACAACCGATATGGATAACAAGCTGACGGCTGCTTCTACCCACCGCCAAAAGGAGCTTGCTCCTTGCTTCTCTGCCTGTTTACTTCTGCCGGAATCCAGCCCCAGCAGAAGAGGAGAAATGCAAAGTTCTATTTCTCGGTTTGAAAAGGAACCAAAGGCCATGCCAGCGCTGTGCTCAGCAAAATGGAGCCAGGGCACATGGCGGTGCTGATTCAGGAGCGCAATGGGGAAGACAGGAGGCCCCTTTGGGAGATTTCCACGGAAACAAAAGCACTTGCTGCACTGACACCTGCTGCTCAGCCCAAGCCATTTGGAGATGTGCTTCCTCCATTTGCAGGACACCCCAGCTGCTCTAGCACCAGGTCCCCAGATGCTCTAAGACTTGTCCAGAGAATGAAAACAGGCAGTTTCTGAGCATACCGGAGGCCCCCTTGCTGCTATTTGAGGAAGAAAATGGAAGTGTCAACTTAAATGCCGAGTTCAGCTGGTAGAATACATAGTCCTCGACATTCAGCCAAGAGTGGGGGCAATCAGGTGTTGTGACCAGCGAGGAGGCATGATGTAGGCCATAGTCCCAAGAACCAGCCTGTCAGTTTAGCCCACCTTCAAAAGCAAGAAGCACGTTATGGTATAAAAAAAAATAGATTTTGCGGTGAATCCTATGAAGATACCTCACAGGAGAGTGATACCCCAGGGAAGGGAGTCTTGGGGTGTGGATTTAAAGTTCTTGTGATCCCTAGCTTTGGTTTTACAGAGGCCTGCAGAGCAGAAGGAATCTTGATTGATCAGATTCTCTTCTTTACAGAAACCAAAATACCAGGTGCGGTGGAAGATCATTGAGGCCTGCGAAGGGAATAACTACATCTTTATTGACCCCACCCAACTGCCGTACAACGAGAAATGGGAATTCCCCAGGAATAACCTGCAGTTTGGTGAGAAATGCTCGGAGCTTCTCCACAGTTGGTCAGTGATTCAACGTGCCGATTCTCTGTTGTGCCAAGCTAAAATAATGCTGACAATGTCCAAACCCTTGGGTCCTCTTGCATATCAGCGGAGAATGATATAATGCCCCTATCCAAATACTCACATCTTCTTGTCTGCAGAGCTATAAACAATAGGATATTATCCCTCTGCAGCCACCCATGGGCCCTCACATACAGATCTGATATGATTCTGCCCCTGCCTGAGAGACTGATTCCATGTCTGGACATTCACTTCCTTAGCGCTCTGCCTTCTCTCCCACTCAATCTCCCATAAATTCGGGCAGGGCTACATGTCACATGCTCATGTGTTGCCCATCTTGTCAGGGTTCTGCTGCTGACATGCCACCAATCCCTCTGGACAGGCTGTCCAAAGCAATTCTTTTGAAAATCACCATCACCGATTTGTTGCTGGGTATTTTTGGTTGGTTGGCTAACCAAAGCACATTTATTTTTGTAGGAAAGACTCTGGGAGCAGGAGCCTTTGGAAAAGTGGTGGAAGCCACTGCTTTTGGGCTGGGGAAGGAAGACACTGTCCTCAAAGTGGCTGTGAAGATGCTCAAAAGTAAGTCAAGAGCAGACTGCAGAGCAAGATGCATTGAAAACACAAACGCGTGTGTACAGCGTTTAGGCTGTGTTTTTTGCACTGGTTACCGGTAATGGATTAAAATGCATATTTTCTAGACAACAGTTGGAGCAAGGCAGCTATAGCTGTCTTAAGCAAATATATCCAGGCAAAGGAAACACGTTCATCATCTTCTCACGCCTCAGCTGTTTCCTCCTCTCACCCTTCCCCTTTTTTCATTGTCTCCCTGTCTTTTTCCCCCTTTCATCCCTTTTCCTGCCTCCCCCCATTTTCGCTCACCCTTTTACCCTCCCCAGACCTTTCCTCTCTTTGGCTAGGTCTACACTGCCGCTTTTTTTGGTGGGCGGAAAGCTACCCAAACTGTGCTCCGCAATTTGCGTAGTTTTTCCCAATTGCTTTTCCGGAAGAGGCTTTTCCACCATTTGGCCCTGTCTAGAACGAGGTATACAGGGCTTCCCGAAAGAACACGTTTGTTCTTCTGCAAAAAAGAAGAAGAGAAAACGCATTCCCTGGTTGCAGCGGGGGTTTTCCGGTATCCCGGACATAGGCTCTGCGCCCTTACACCATATCAGACTTGCGGTAACCTTTTCCAATTTGATTCCAGCAACAGCCCACACAGATGAGCAGGAGGCCCTTATGTCCGAGCTGAAAATCATGAGTCACTTGGGCCACCATGAGAACATTGTGAACCTACTGGGAGCCTGTACTTATGGAGGTAGGACGAGATGGCACCATGTCCTCTAAGGTTCTCAGTAGACATCCTCCTGAACACGGTTTTCAGTGACACCTCCACCCCTCGGGGCTTTAGACACTTTTTAGGCTGACATCCCTTATAGTCCCAAGGAGATGATCCATTCCAGTGGAGGCTTTCCATGCTTATTTCTTCTTCAGACAGCTCCCCCTAAGGGACATGTCAACCAGTCTGTCTGCCCGAGCTAGCAGAGCTGCCCTACCCCTTTAATAGACAGGCTCCAAGAATAAGGGATTATTAGTATGGAGGCCCACATGTGCCTGAAGCTGCAAGCTCAAGATTAACAACCTATTAGATCCTATCATTTCCACTAGAGCTGGAGAGCCACTCCAAACCACTGTATGTGCTCATGTACCTATTCACCTCCCTACATCCATGCATACCATTCTAAAGTGGAAACTGGGGCTGCAGGAGAGAGAGAGAGAACATGCAATGAAGTCACCGCTTGGCGATCACCACTTCCTGTTTTTTAGGCCCAATTCTGGTCATCACGGAGTACTGTCGCTATGGAGATCTGCTGAATTTCCTGCGGAAGAAGGCGGAGTCCATAATCATCCCAGACTCGCCCCTGGACTCCTCTCTGGATAGCACGGCCGATTACAAAAACATCTATCTGGAGAAGAAGTATGTCCGAAGGTAAGAATCAGGACTGGAGATTGTACATGCAGGCACTGGAATAAATTGCTTACGGAGGTTGTGGAATCTCCATCATGGTATAACTTGCTCTTAAAGAGCTCCAAGCACCTGTCAGGGATAGTCTAGATAATACTTAGTCCTGTCTAGAGTGCAGGGGACTGGACTAGGCAACCTCTTGAGGTCCTTTCCAATTCGATGAGTCTACGCACAACGCCAATGCCTAAGAGCAAGAAATGATGAGAAATTGTATTGGCACGAGGCTGGGAGATCATGGTACTCACATGTAGAAATGTTTCTGTTTTTAAATAAACATAGAGGTAATTTCTAAAAAATTCTCTGTAAAACCAGAATGTACCCAGCCAGGCCTTGGGGAGTAGATGATTGTGACAGACATATTTCAGAAACCTCCAAAAATTGGCTACATTGCTCACACCAATGTGATTTTATACTTGTGGTCTATTCTCTCCCCTCCCGCCACCCATCTCAGCTACCAAGTCAAAACTATTCCATCGTTTGCAACTGCTGTCATATCACAATGAGATCTGGCCAATCATGCTGACCTTTCACAGAAGGAAAAGTGCCTTTCTAGCAAGGGTAGTTACAAGGTATTTCTATGCTCCCATCCAGTCTAATTAAGAGGGGGTATTTAGAGCACTATTCACCTTTGCTGTTCAATTCAACTTTTCAAACCCACCCCACCTCATAGATACTTGGGAGTGTTTTGCTCAGCACCCTGTGGTCAAAAAAAGAAAAGAGTGTGCAACCAGACTGTTCATTAACTTGTCCCCTCTCTGTGTTTCTCTCTGGTTCAGTGACAGCGGGTTTGGGAGCCAGTGTTTGGAGAACTATGTTGAAATGAGACCAGTGCCATCAGACTCCACGCCAGCAGGAAGTAAATTGCAAGGTACGGTCTCAGTCTTTTATTGAACTCTGCATTCTGATAGGCATACCGCTTGCACAGCTCCCCATCGTGGGTCAGGATCTAGTGCACTCAGCACTATGTGGCCTGCCCAAAGGCTGTCCTGTGTTAACCATAAAGAGCTCTTCTCTCTTCCAGGCAAGAGTGGAGGGGAAGAACAGGAGGATACTCGGCCCCTGGATCTCGGTGACCTTTTGCAGTTCTCCAATCAGGTGGCTCAGGGAATGGCCTTCCTTGCCTCAAAGAATGTAAGTGAAAGGGGGATGCTAGCCCAAGGGCTTAACAGGTTAATTAAGAAACACTCATATATAGCCCATTGCATAAAGCAGCTGAGGGATAAAACGTCAGCAGCCTTGTGAACAGGGTGGAACCTCTTTCCTAGAACATTTGAGGAAACGGCTACTGTAGACACAGGCAAGGGGACTACCAAATAGGCCTGTAGTATTCAAATGCCACTTTGAGAGCAGAAGGATAATGAATCTTCCTTGTTAACATGGCCTCACCTTATAGCCAGTTTAGATTGCATTCTATATTCCTGCCTGCCTTTCGTGGAGAGTGAAAACTAATGGCTGCCTTTGCGTGTTTATTGCAATATATGTGCCACCCACTATAGCAATGCAGAATTACCAAACTGAATTTTGTGCTTTGCCCACTCTGGTTTATTATTCCGGTAAGTAACTCTGCACTGTTTGATGTGGAGAGCGTCTCTTTCCAGGAAACAGGAACAGAAAGCTGCAGTTGAAATGTCTGCCTGAATCTGGTTTAAAATGTTTTAAGAAAGAGCAAAAGTACGGACTGTTCTGTGCTGACACGGTCGGCAAAGACCCAGTGCATCTGAGAGGCCAACACCACACTCAGGGCTGTGTGATTCCAGGCTACCGCATGAAGTGCCTGAGAAATGAACTTTTTTGAGGTTTCAAAACAAATGGAAATAACTTCACAGAGAATAGGTCCCTCAATGGCTATTAGCCAAGATAGTCAGAGAGGTAACTCCATGCTCAGGCTGACGGTAAGCTATTGCCTACCAGAAACTAGGAGTGGAGCTCTCAAAACTGTCCTGAAGCTTTGGTACACGTTGCTGCCAGGTACAGGCTACTGGGTTGGATGTTCTTATGTTGATAAATAAATTGGAGGAAGGGGCATATATAAAATGAGAACAGATGCAATTTAATCCCTGAATTTCACCTGCCCCACACCCATGGAGCAGGCAATTACCTTCTGAGAGAGGTGGTTTCAGATGGATAGCCGTGTTAGTCTGTAACTTTAAAAATGAGTAATCCTGAGGCATCTTAAAAGACTCAGTCTCTTAGTTTCCTAGTGTAGACATGTTCTATTTTGAAATAATTAAAATCAATGTAATAACTCCCAAAATAACAATCAAAATAGCATTGGGAAGCCTCAAAATTAGTTCGAGGCAGACTCCATTAATGTGAACGCATTACCTTGACTTAGAGTAGGGCTAGACTACCAGAAGTATCCCAGAAAAACTCTTCTGCATCCAGGGACGTGTTTGCTCTTCTGATTTTTTTTTCCTCCAGAAGAGCAAATTCCTTATACTCCAGGGCTGTGTCTACACTGGCCACTTATTCCAGAAAATCAGCCGCTTTTCCAGAATAACTTGCCAGCTGTTTACACTGGCCCCTAAAATTTCCAGAAAAGCACTGACTATCTACTGTAAAATTATCAGTGCTTTTCCGGAAAAACTATGCTGCTCCCGTTCGGGCAAAAGTCCTTTTCTGGAAAACTGTTCCGGAAAAGGACCAGTATAGACAGCACAGTAGTGTTTTCCACAAAAAAAGCCCCGATTGCGAAAATGACGATCGGGGCTTTTTTGCAGAAAAGCGCGTCTAGATTGGCCACAGACGCTTTTCCGGAAAAAGTGCTTTTCCAGAAAAGTAACCTGCCAGTGTAGACGCGCTTTTTCCAGAAATACTTATAATGGAAAATTGTTCTGTTTTAAGTATTTCCGGAAAAGGGTGCCAGTGTAGACATAGCCCATGAGGAATAAGAGGGCTTCCAGAAAAGGGGTTTTTTCCTGGCATTTGGTCCAGTCTAGATGGACCAGATGGGGGAAAACCTCTTCTGACAAAAGGATTGAAAAATGCTACAGAAAATGCAGAGCGCATTTTGCATAGCTTTTTTTTTTTTTTTTAAAGCGGTAGTATAGCTGTATCCTCTGCGCTCCAGGAAACAGTGGGAAGTAATTCGTTTGAATACTCTGGGGAGTAGCTAATTTCAAAATAGCAGCACCGGAGCATTCCCACAACTGCTATTTCAAAATAACTACTTCAAAATTAGCGTTATTCCCCAGGAAAGGCAAGAGTACAGATTTCAAAATAAGCAGCCCATTATTTCAAAACAACAGGCTTAGTAGTGTGGACATTCCACACTATTAATTTGACCTAAGGGGAGTTATTTCAAAATAAACCCTAGTGTAGATCAGGGCTCTAAGGTGCCACAGGAAGAAAGGTAGAGGTTTTGAGAGAGTTCCATGGCTCTAGCAAAGTCGTTTACGTGGATGTTCTTTTGCCATCTGTTCTGTGCAGTGCATCCACCGAGATTTGGCAGCAAGGAATGTGCTAGTGACCCACGGGCGAGTGGCCAAAATCTGTGACTTCGGGCTGGCAAGAGACATCATGAATGATTCAAACTATGTTGTCAAAGGCAATGTAAGTAACTACTGGGAGCATTAGCAGAGGTGTCATGGGGGAGTGGGTCTCTTAAGTGGGGCAGGGAGGACACAGTTAAGGACAGACAGGGAGAGAAGAGGACCAGAATTGTAGTGTAAGTGGGCAAACTGTCCACTGAGTGGTGCATTGTACCCTTGCAGGCCCGGCTGCCAGTGAAGTGGATGGCTCCAGAGAGTATCTTTGACTGCATATACACAGTGCAAAGCGACGTCTGGTCCTACGGCATCCTCCTCTGGGAGATCTTCTCCCTGGGTAAGGAAGGGTCCTTCAGCGTTCTCTTGGTACACTGACCTCAATCACATCAATGGATTTAGGCAACAAGCAGGGATAGGGAAGGGCTGATTGAGAAACTGGACTCTGGGAGGAGGGGCGCACAGCAGCCTGTTTTACTAATCCTTGGTACCTGACAGTGTCTATTACTATCAGCAACCTACCCCAGTCACAAGAAACACAATCCATTCAGACTCCTGCAGCACCCTTCAAAAGCACACTGCATAGTAAGCTTGACTGAGAAGTCCAGCAATATCACTTCTGCTCAAAACCATAACTAGGCTTTTGTGGTGGTTGCAGGTAAAAGCCCATACCCTGGTATGCTGGTGAACAGCAAGTTTTACAGCATGGTGAAGCGGGGTTATCAGATGGCCAGACCAGACTTTGCGCCTATGGAAACGTAAGTACAGTAGCCAGGAAATGCACTTGCTGCCCTCTGCAAATGCAGACGTAGCAAAAGGAGCAGGCACAACAGCTAGTGAAAAGCAGGATATAGTTATTGAGGGTGTTAGAGGACCAATGAGCTCTACTGCTGGCAAGTTAATGATTTAATTACTGTAGCGCTACAGCTAGACTCAAGCCACAAAGTTTCCATCCAAATTTCAAACTGGACCCCGTTTGGGAGTGGTTGGCTCTGGGGGTTTGTTTCACACTTAGCTCTGCATAGAGCCCCTCATTTTGCTTCTTAAGATAGCATTAATATGCCACAAGCAGTAATGCCATGGCTCTAGGTATATTTCCGCTGAATGTAACAGCATGCAGGGAAGGGTCTTTCTGGAAATGGACCGTAGTTTCCTTCCAGAAACCATCCAGGACATAGCACCACCTGTCACCTTGTAAATGTTCAGAATTTTTTTTATCCGAATGAGTCCCATTAAGCTTTGAAGGTAGGCATGTAAACACAAATGCTTGTAGTCCATAGAAAAGAAGCAAACACTCATAATCTGCACTTGTAAAGCAGTGAGTTATATGCGTGTGTGGCCTCTGACTCTTTAGGCTTCTAGCAGTGTTCTGGACTTTGCTCCCAGGCCAAAAAGTCACAGAGCCTAGGCATGAAGTATGACCATCCTATTCCAGCTCCCTGGGAGAACCTTTGACCGGGGCAGCATGCTCATTGCTCAAAGTGAGGTTAACATCTGTTACTGCTGTTTGCCACGGCAGGTACTGCATCATGCAAGCATGTTGGAATCTGCAACCCACACAACGGCCCACCTTTGACCAGATATGCCACTTCATTCAAAAGCAACTGGATGCCAACAAGGAACAGGTGAGACACTTTGGAGACTAGGGAGCAGATAAGGGGAAGGAAAAAACAACCCGGGGCCCTGCCTTAGCTGTTGCTTCTCATCTTTTACCCAAAAGATGTTTTTGGGCTGGTGGAAAGCCCAGAAAGGTAGAGAACTGGAGTACAAAGTCCCATAACTTGCCCTTCACATAGGTACATTGACACCACTCATTTTCTGATGGTGTACACTTGTTTCAGAACCAGGCCCCACCACTGACTGCAATGTAACACCAATAAATCTCTAGAGGTTACTATATGAACTTGAGCTAAAAGCCAGCTGGTGCTCAGCTAAGGCCACAGAGCAAACTCATTCTCTCTCTCTCTGCTACGGAGACTAAGTGCCACTAACATGGGACAGTGAACCCAGGAGGAGTGTGGGTTACACTAAGAAAATGGCTAAGCCACAACGCTGATTCAGTTCAAGCTGCCAGCAGCCATGATATTCTGCAACGTGGACACAGGCAACCGGCGGTAGCAAGTGAACTTTCCTCGCTGCTTCCACTTCAGGTTAGGAGTGACAAAGATGCCATAGCTCATGAACAATATCCAGAGCCATCCAATGGCCCAGGAGAAAGCACTTATTAGCTCTCCAGGAGGCACCTAGGCAGATGGCTGATCATCAATAGTAGCTTCCCTGCACTTAAATGTACCACTCTCCTGCCTGGCCAGTAGCATCTTAGAAGAATGCTTAGAAGGCTTTATATATCACTTGCATTGTGTCTCATTGGAGATGCATAAGGACTTCCCAGTGCAACAACTCTGCTTTGCCATAGCAGGAGTTACTGGCATGCCACAGAAGATGCAATATCAGAATATTAACCAATTATACCCCAAAGATAAGAAAATCCATAAATATAAAACTGCACAAAAATGGTAAGTCTCTCAGGTGCAGAAGCAGCAGCAGCATTTCCATTATGGGGAGTGACAGAATGGCTAGGCCACAGTTAGGTCTAAGTCAACTCAAGGGACTGAAACCTATTTGCCTTTTCTTATTTCCAGGACTACACAAACCTCCCCAGTAGCTCAGAGGAAAACAGCGTGTGTGAGCCCTCTGACTGCTGTGAAGAGTCCTGTGAGCAAGGAGATAGCAGTCAGCCTCTTCTGAAGAGCAACAACTATCAGTTCTGTTAATTTTAAGGTCAAATTTGGATGGATCTTGCGCCATCCTTGGCAAAGGACAGGTCACTCTTGGCTTAGAAGGCAGGTTCCTCATTCTCAGTGTCTCCTTATCTCGTGCTTTTGGAAGCATGAAAGAATAAGAGAACTCCCTCTTCCCCCCATGAAAGGGCATCATTAGAGGAGCTAAGAACCAACATTCACGCGTGAGGCTTGCAGTTGTGTTGAAATATAGCACAAAGTCATCAGGAATGTTAAACATAATCCACACGTCTGTGGAGCGTTTTGGATTCCCTTAGAGTCTCCCACCAACTCTGATCACACATAGGCCCATTGATGCCGTTCTCCTGACAAGCAGCTCCTAACTCCATGCTAGCCAGTTCTTACCTGCGTTGTTCCACATGGATATGCATTTCCATAGGTGAGTGTGTGCGTGCATTCAGGAGAGCTTCAAAGCAACCCACTAACTCCCTGCGACAGCTCTCCCTGTTAGAGAGAGAAACCACCAGCTTTTTTCCTTCACTAGTCTCCCTCTGCTCCATCTATGCATGTTACAGAGTATTAGTTGTAGCAGAAAAGCTTCTCTCCAAGCATTATGCAAGTGGCAGACCCCACATTCCAGCTCAGCGCAGATGAGGATGCTGCACTTCACTTCACTCAAACTGCTGCTGAAGCTACACTTAGCATTACAGATTGGGAGGACAGTGCCTTTGAACCATTACTGCTTGAACAGGTGCATGTCCTCCAGTGAAACGTGAAGTCCGGCCATGCTCCCTTCCAACAAGGCATGGAACATAAATTCCCATCAAGGAAGGAATGGCAGCTTTTTATATTGATCGGAACCAGCTCAGCATTACACACATTCTCTAATGCATGCTTGAATTATTGAACGATTCATGTAGCAACTCAGCAACCACTGCCTGTACCAAACCATTAGGGGAATGTTTTAATGTAGATAGTTGCATTTTGATAATGTTATACAAGATTGTTTTTTTAATAAGCTAGGGGCCTGGGCCCTCACAGGGAGCTTTTCTAAATCTTGAATTCTTTTGCTCAGGGTTATTGAATTTACGCAGCAGCCTAGTTTTAAGATTATTCTATATTAGCATAAGACTTCCAGGGCGGGGGGGGATCTCTTAACGAATAATAGCCTTATCTGACTCCAAAGTATAATCATGTGACAGGGTATATACACTGACTTGGCTTAGGCTACTGGTAATGAACAACAGCTGCTACATAATTTGGCCTTTATCAGACTACTACTACTTTGTGGGCCATTTTTAATTAAACTTTAAACCATGCAGTGAGTGAAATCATATGTTGAAAACAAATTATTCCTTTCCACTAAATACAAGCTCATGCATTTCCACTTGTCAGCCTTATGACAAAAATAAAACTAACATGATTAACACAGCAATATTGTGCGGTTTTTTCCCAGATGACCTCAGACTTTCATTTCCTCCATCTCCCTCCTTCAGGTGTAAGAGAAAGGGCAAAGCCTAGCGTCTCTCTAGACACTACTGATTTGCTCTGATAATTATTTAGGTAGCTAACAAATCCCTTCTTTTTTCTAGTTGATGGAATGTTGATTTGATTAAACACTGACAAACTTGTTAATGGCCAGCTTCTTGTAATCCGAGAGGCCTATCCATTATTGAGAGAAATTAAATAGAGAGAGGAGAGATGCAACTGCAGAATATCTTCAGTCATGGGTTAAAACACATGTGGGAAGAAACTAGATCAGGCTATGGCATGCACCTGCTGTGCCATGCACTGGGTACAGTGGATACTAGGGTAAACAAGATGGGTTGGCATAGTTTTGGAGAGATCAGGGCAGCTTTCCTTCTAATTTTCCATCCAGGTGTGGAATAAATGTTGTTACATGCACCGAGGCAAGTACAGATGTACACCAGCAATAGAAATACATCCTACCAGCTGTGGGCACGCTGCTAATCAGCTGGACAGCACCTGAATCTCTCATGAGTGACCATCCAACCGCTCAGCTTACAGGGAACACTGGATCAGGGTAGCAATGGCCTTCTGGTTTCCAAAGAAAGTTCCTCTTTAGCTCCATTGCACCTTCAGGATCTGTTCCATACTAACGCACATTTGAAGTAGCAAAAAGCTGAGGATGAAAGAGAAATGATTAAAAAAAGCTCACGAATGCTCAAGGAGAGGCTTATTGCTGAGGTGTCACCTGCTGCAATTTTCCCCTCCCACAAGCTTTTTTGTTATCAGCACAGTACAATTAATTGAAAGAGAATCTTGTCTCAACCCCTCTTCTCCAATGCTGCATCTTAGCTATTTGGCAGTTGAGAACTTCGTTCTCACACGGAGTGGTCCAATACTAATTCAACCCTCATGTAACTGAATGAGTGGAGTTACACAAACGAATGAATTGGACCTGTTGTGCAGGGAACCAAAACCTAAATCTTACATGTCATGCTTGCACCATGAAGATAAAGTAGGCATCAGTGAAAAAGGGTTTTGGGTTTTTTTTTTTAAATATTATTGTGTTTACCTCCAGAAGAGCAGATGATGCATGAATCTTCCACATGAACATGTGAATATTTGACCCTGACATGTTTTACAGTTCGGCAACAGGATTCTCTCTCTCACAGGCTGCCTTATATTTCCATTTATAGGAGCAACTCCGTAATTGTATTTCAAAATGTAATTTTTTTTTTAAAACCTCACAGATTCCACACTGGAGTTAGGAGCCCAGGTAGTCTCTGTATTTGCCTCTTTCAGAACATAGTGCTGCAGAAAAGACCAACGATTTTTTCCTACTTGTTCTTCACACGCAGTCCACTTGGCTGTGAGATGTGGACGTGCCCGTGCGCCAGCACCATGGCTAATGCGCCCGTCAGACCACATGGTTCTAATCAGCTGATTTACAAGCTTTCCCATTGGCTATCAGAGTTCTTAGGCCGTCAAATGTGAATAAAAACTCACTTAGCCATACAGTTTCACCCAAAAAATTGGAGATAATTTATTAAATTTTATCACTGACTGAAAAAGTCACTAATGTCTTTTATAATAAATTAACATTTTTTAACAGGATAAACCCCAAACCATAATTACTGTATTTGCTCAGATTTAGTACATTTACAGTATGGTACTCAGTAGGTTCCCCTTCACAGAAGGAAATTTTCATCCACACCGTAAGTCTTCTATTCACTCTTCTGTTCACACAAGGAAACGCCTTCCTGGCAGTTGGCCTGGTTTCCCACTGTTCCAGTATCCCATCTTCTGTGTTGTTTGAACCAGGCCAGATGTGTATTTTCAGATTTATGGTCAGCAGGGTGTCAGTGGACAATGAAAGCAGCTTTACAAATAGGGTAGGAGGTGCTATTTAAATACGCTGGAGGGAACATGGACTCAGAGGACTTAAAGGAAAATAGTCAGAGCAATGTATAGACAGGATGAGACCCATTTCAGATTTACAGTGCTATGGAGATAATGGCAAGATGGGTTATCACAGTTGGCAAAGGTCCCAGAGAGCAGAGTGGATGCAGCCCTCTCAACCACAGTCCTGATAGAGGATTATAAAAATCTTATCATGGGCGTCTCTGGATATGTTGCATTCATTGCCTCTTGTTACTGCTGCACAAATGTCCGTTGCTATTCAGCCCCAGCCACACCACAAAAATAAATTTTCATTCAAGTCCATGAATGGGATGTAACATTTAAAAGAATAAAGTGCCCAAAACGAAGTGAGTGGAATTTGAGTGCCTCGCTGGTTTAAAAAGTGGTTGCCTTAGATGACTCAAAGCAGCCCTTCAAGAAGTGTTAGCCCTTGGCTAGCCAAGTCAAGGGCAACCCATCAAGTTCAACTCCTAGGTAATGCATCAATGACTGACTAATCATTACTGTTCCTCCTGTTAAAGGACTAACAGACCTAGAAACTCAGATTCACAGCTCTCCACAGGCTAAATACCTGCTATAGTGCACTGTTACTGAACTCAAGAAAAGAACAGGAAACATCCCTCCCTGCTGACTCCTTAACCCCATCCTGGGCACCAGCACCTCCCATGAGGTTCCCTAGAGGTGACTATTTTAAAGCTGCAGGCCACTCAACATGATCCTTTTGAATGCATAGCCAGATGGAAGGTGCAACTTCAAAGCAGGAAGGTCAGGATATTATGCTAATCTATTCAAAGTAGAGTTTTGGGGGTCACAGACATTGTCATCCACCTTTCTTCCATCCACTCTTGCACCCTTTACCCAACCCTGTACTGATATTAACAAGGTTAGCAAACAAGATCGGGGCGGGGCGGGGGACCTCAACAACTTTGTGCTATTACATCTCAGACACTCCAGGAACTGGAAACTGATCCCTTCCCACCCCTCGCTTTCTCCCAATCCAGCTGCTGTGTGAGAACAGCATATTTCACAACAAATCAATGGGTCCAAGAAGCACCTTGGAAGGAAATCCCATCCTGTAAGCAAGGATGTTAATGGAACTTACGCTCACAGCAGCAATCATGATCCTCTGGAAGCACATGGCTCTTTGGTCAGTGTAAGCAGTTAAAGCCAGCAGTATCACAGCTTCTTTGTTTAAAACACACACCTCTCTCAGATAAACCTGACCAGTCTGCCAAGACTTTACAGCAGCCCAACATACCCAGCTGCATGGTTAAAAGAGATTAATCACCAGCTGAGAGTGGTTTATTCAGCAACCTCTCCATCTTCCTGGTTCTCCTCCTCCTCCTCCTCTATTTCGGTCTTGATCTGGGCCACTCCCAGTCGGTACAGCGTGTCCCGGATCACCACCTCACCAGGCTGACAGCTCTGCACAATTTCATGGATCTGCCGGTTCACGATCTCCCGGCTGGTAAGGAAATCCATCAGACGGTTGTAGAGGTAATAGTGGGTTGCATTGTCAAAGGTGATGGGCCTCTGGCGGACACTGCTGGTTTTGCTGTCGTTAATGGCAGTGATGACGGCACTGTAAGGCTCTAGCTCCTGGCACAGTGAAATGGAACGGTGCTGGGCAGTTGGATCGCTCTGGCTGTTCTCCACCCCGGTGTTAACAATTCGGCGGGCTGTGGATTTGGTGACTGGGTGCTGGACAGAGTGCTCCGCTACAGTCATATCTACACTGTAGTGTTGGTCTAATAGCTCTGGGCAGGATACACACTGATGGAGAGAGAGAAAATAAGATTGCATACATACAAGCTGAATGCTTAGCAGCTCCCTTCAACCAAGCCTTGTCCACAAATATAAGATAAAGCCCTTCCCTGAATAATGACTTGGAGCAGGGTGGAAGCAAATATAGTTGGCTTTCCCCAAAAGTCCTAGGAGCAGGGCCGGACTAAGGGGTGGGCTAGCTGGGCAGCTGCCCAGGGCGCCAACCTATGGTG